TAATTGACTTTTGGCTGGACCCACACCCATGCATGTGTGCTCCTTCACGTCCTGATTTAGGGGAATATAGAAACATAACTCCATACTTGCTCATTATTTGTACAACTGTGTCACGCTTAGATGTGATGCCTACAAATCCATCTTCATCTTGAAAAACATCTGTAGCATATTCAGTACTAGATTAATACGTTGTTGTATCAACAGTGATCATCGCACTTAAATTACACGCGGCCATATCACTCGTGGGAGGGTGAACCCTTTGGGGAAGGGCTCATCGCGGATTCGGGGGCCGAAGCAGGGCGGGCTCAGTGCATCTTCTTCTTCAAGCGCCAGGGATCGGTTGAGGCGATCGATCCGGTGGCGAGCATCATTCTCTCCGACTCCCTCTCGGCGGCCAAGGCGGTCGCCGAGTGTCGGGTGCGTGACAGGAGGCGGAGTGGGGTATCTCGCTCCACGAGGCAGGGGAGGCGGCAGGTTGCCTCGCCGCTCCACTGCACAAGGGCGGCCTTCCTCGTCCTGCTCGATGGAGATGCGTGTCCGACTGCGGCTAGCAGCCGACTCATTGGCCTTTCCTCCGCGGGCGCCACCAGTCGGCGTCCGGGAGGTCGCCCCATGGTCTCGGCGTGGGGGCGGCTCGTTGTCTCATACGGCTGGGTCTTTAGCACGGCAGGCGGCCTCGTGCTGCGCGGCAGCCGCGTCCAGGAGCTGTTGGACTCGCTTTGTCATGTGGCGGAGTTCGTCGCCTTCGTACTTGTTCAGCTCATCCGTTACCGCCTGGGCGGCCCGGATGTTCTCTGCAGACGTGGCGTAGACGGGGCGCTCTACCCCGAACATGGTGGCGACGGCCGCGCCATGCTGCCGAATTGTGCCGAGGCGGCTAGGCCCCCTAGGAGCCGTTGTGCCGCCTACGGCCCGGTCCATCTCGCGCCGGTAGGCGTCCGACAGCCGGCGCATGCTGGCCAGGCGGCCAGCACTCTCGATAAGCTAGAGGCGGCGTGCCTCCAGCACCTTAGCATCCGCGTCCTCGGGAATGGGCGCCGTGAGGTCGCGCAGGGCGGCCTCAAGGGGATCTTGAGCACGCCCGTCCGAGTGCTCCTCGCTGTTAATGACGAGCACCTCTGTGAAGGTGCTCCCGCCGCTGTACTCGTGAGGAGGCGGCTCATCATAGACCACCACATTGGTGGGAAACGCGTCGAGCGACGCCGTGTCGGAGTCGACGATCATCGGATCGGTTGAGCCGACGGACTCCAGGTCCACAGCGGGCTCGCTGGCGACATGGAGCTAGTCGAGGAGGCTGACGAGGCGGCTCTCGGGGCAACTTGTGCCCGCGTGGAGGTCGGCTCGTCGGAGAGGTCAATCTCGCCGACGAGGTCGGCAAGGCAACTCGCCGCGCAGGCGATCTCCGCGCCATGCAGCGCGTCGAGGCTGACGTCGTCGGGCGTGCTGGGCTGGCTTCGCTCGCCAGGAAGGAACAGGGTTCCCGTCCAGAGCAGATCTCCGGGAGACGGTGCACCTCGCCCCACGGTGGGCGCCAAATGTCTGGGGTTGGGTGTGACATATGCCAATGGATGGCTTATCATGGTGGGAGCGAGTAGAACGTCGCCGGTGCCTGGAAGCGAGATAAGGCGTAGACACGAACGCCGGCGTACTTTACCCAGGTTCGGGGCTCTCCTAGGAGATAACACCCCTAGTCCTGCTCTGCGGGGTCTCCGCATGATCACTAAGGCACAAGTGATACAACGGTGCTCCTCGAGCTGTGCGCTAGAGGCAGGAGGAGGCAAGGCTTAGCTCTCTTCCTGCTCTAAGGGGTGGCTAGTTCTAATGGGGTCGAACCCTTTGCATGGGTGGCCTGGGGGGTTTATATAGGCCTACCCCCCAAGGGTACAATGATAATCTGGCCGGCTGCTGGGCCCGGCTGTCAGTGTCTCCAGCCTCCGGCTTCTCCACCGACCGCTGGGGCCCGCCGCCTGGTTGGTGGCTGCTTACTGTAGCCGCGTCATTGGTGACAAGAGCTTGGTCACCTTTGCGTGGCTACAGTCCCGCCGCCTGGCGAGAGGCCACTGTAGCCACACCTGGTCTCATCAGCTTAATGGCGTGCATGCCTCGGGATAAGGGACGGCCGCCTGCTGGAGGCCGGCTCCTCTTGAATCCGCTTGGTCGAGCTTCCGCCGTCTTCCTTGGGGTCACTGCCTGATAGGGCCCGCCTCCGGCGGGCCGTACCGACAAGCCGTCGTGGGGAACAAGACTCCGCCTGCCCGGAACGACGTCAGGGTAGATATGGCACAGTGCTCCGTCGTGCGGAGATCTCCGTCTGTACGGAGCACTGTAGCCACGCCCGTCTCGAGCGTGGGAGGCGACGTGCTTCACTGTAGCCATGCCCTGCCTTGTACTCTTGATGGGAGCTCGGCCGCCCGTAGTTGTGAGGTGGCCGCCTGCCCGTTGCCGCCCTCTTGGGTCACCCGCCCTCTGGCAGCCGGCCACTAAGCCAGCCGGCCCCAGAGGGCGGAGTTTCTGCTTGGGGCCCAGCTAGGCGGAGCTGGCCCAAAGTCTTGGTAAATCTTGGGACTCGGGTGAGCATACCGGTGGCCCATTACTTCGACAACTGCACATATTGAAACAGCAAAAGAGAACGAAGGGGCACAAATCTAGAAACTCTAAGCAAATGGAAAAGGAAAACGAAACTCAAAATAAGAAGAAACAAAAAAGGCTAGCTTAACATTAAAAAAATGTTGTTTTGTTACATGAATTTCTTACCCGGCCAGACAACATAAATGATATGCTAAATCATCTTAACCCACAATGTATTTAGTGGGACATGTCCTGCGAAAATGCACATCTTTCCAAAAATTTGAAATACCATTTTAAAAGCACATACAAATTCCACAAAAGTGTACTATTGTGGAAGAGCATATAGCACCTCTGTTCAAACTTTCTCGAAAGAGAAATCCTTTCACGAAAACAAAACAAGACAAAATAGGCAAATAGTGTCAAAGCATAGTTTTAATTTTAGTACACTATTCACATTCGGTTTTCTTTTCTGTAGCACACAAAGTACACTGGATTTGAAGTTTCAAATTGGCATGAATATACAAAACGCCCTTACAAAGTAAGAGTTATTTTGAGAATTTTAAGATACTTGCACATGTGATTTTCTGATTGTATTTTCACATTACCAAAAACATGCCCATTTTCACAGGATACGCACCACCATCTTTATATTCTTCCTAGTTTGTTTTATAGTTATCGTGTGGAGTTTGTGTGTGATCATGGCAGTACTGTAAAGGGTGAACGCACATTTGTCCATTGTATCCAGAATTTTGGATTATCTGTCATCCATATTAGTATTATTTACTCCATACGTATTCAGAAATATAACACTGATATTTTCAATTAGATCTAGATTATCTTGCATTCGTCTCGAGACTATTCACACTTTATAGTTTCCTATTTCCCCAATATGAGTTGGCTGCTTCACGATAGCCTATTTGTTCGGTGAGAATGCAACATTTCTTCTATAACACTTGGCCAGACAAGCACAACATCATAAAAAATGTATCAAAGCCAACCTATAAACCTCATCACGTTTCATGTCATTTAGCAAAAACAACACATGACTAACATGGTAATCTTAGCCAAAGAGGTTTAAGAAATTCAACATAACCAAATGCACTATTCTGAACATCCAATACAGACACAGACGAGGGGAACACACTTAAGGTTGGAAGTGCAATTCTCTTATTCTGTGAGAAGCAGATTTCAAAATACTAAAAATAATATCAGGAAAAGTTCTGTTTGAAAATGAAATATACCTGCTTTTGCAAGATTGGGGGTGAGCCATATGGGAGGGAACCACGTCCTCCAGGGTTCAGGATCAACCAAATTGGTTCTGGTATCATTTTCCAAGTCGTACACTCCTATGTCACGTGGATCATCTTTGCCGCCGAGTAATTCTTCGTGATCATCATGAGTAAAATATAGATGGTTTGCCATCAAGCCTGGATGATTCTTTACGCTAAAGCAAGATGTTGTGCTTTTCCCAGTGAACAATGCATGTTCACCTATCCCTCTCATTTTGACACGCTTCAGCTCAACAAAATCAACCTTGTACACTTCATAAGCAGTGACATACGTCTCACCATCTGGTTGTTCAGGATCCAAACTCTCCTCCTTAATGATTTGGAGGACATCTCCCCATGGTGCCTGAACAATGTAGCACTTCTGGACCATCCCAACTAGATTTGGTAAAATCCTTCTGTGGACGACAGATGGTCCGTTCAAATCAAACTCATCGATTGCGCCTACCTCAGTCATTGCGTAGAAACAGCCATCATGTTGTATGCAATCTGCATAGAAACTATGCATTTGTTGCCAGTTCCACCGAGCATCCCCCACTTTGGCGAATGAGAGCTGCGCGTACGGCTGATGGATGAGCATGACAGTGCATTCCCCTGCCGATGGATAGGAAGACAAAGTTGCCTTCAGATAGACCAGATCTCAGTACCTATCCAAAGGGCATGCGTAGGGTGTATCCTCCACCCTCGGAAGCTCTCCGTCATAGAAAGACAGCTTGTACTTTTCAAGAACCCCGTCGTCGTTTATGACAGGTTTAACATGCTCCATGGTTGTCACAGGAGGGAGTGCAATCTTGTCACCGGTGATAGGGTTGAGAAGCATCAGGTCAGACTTCTCATCCATGGTGACTAGCCAGCCATGTGATGAACCAATCCAGTTGCTGATGGGAGGTTCAGGGAGGGGCATGGAGTAGGCCTTCCGATCGGAGAGACTGTACACGCCAAGAGCCTTCGCACCGGCGGCCTCGGTACAATATAGTAAGCAGGGGGTCTGCCGACTGGGGCAGACGCCGCTGCGGCGGAGCGTGGAGTATGCCTTTTGCCAGAATGTGCAGAAGGCGGCGGATCGGAGGAGGTCCGGGCACTCGAGCAACTGGAATATGCTGATCAATATGTCCGCTGGTAGCCCGGACCAATCTGGCGCCGGAGCTTCCATTGTGGATGGACAGAGACGAACACCACAGCTTTAGAGCAGGTCGGCTACAACCACACGGGCGGCCGGAGCTGCAAATCAAAGAGACCAAGACTGCGGCAGCTCCGGCGGCTACTCCGGCCGCGTTCTGATGTAGATCCTTCCCACCCCAATCCAATCCGGGAGAGAACTGGATATGCCTGCCCTGCCCGGTCGAATCTGATTTGGGAACGAAACAATGAAAACCAAGGAATCCGCCGCCACTTTTCCCTCCGTCCCGTGGGTTACTCTCGCGACTGACCGGGCGATTTCCCGCCGCCTCACCTTCAGCCCCCTCAGCCACGTCCTCCTCTGTCGCCGGCGCCGCCGGCGGCCTGCCCGCGGTGGCGGCAGGGCGCCTCTCCCACCTCCCTCTCCTCCTTTTGATGCTCTCGCCCTGGCGACCTCCGCCCTTCTCGCGGCGGCGCGGCGGCGCAGCAGTCTCGGCGGGTGCGCCGGGGTGACGCGCTCGCGGAGGTCCCGCGCGGCGGCGTGTGCGTCTCGACTGGGAGCCAGCGTGCATTTTTTTTTGGTTGAGAAACTGGGAGCCAGCGTGCTAGGCCGCAGTGGGTTGGCTGTGCGGCTGCAGGCCTGGGCTAGGCCGCGCGGTAGATTTTTCTGTACTTTACTTATTTTATTAAGGTTTTTCTAAATTTTTAAAAAACAAAAGGCCCCAGAAGACCGACACGGCCCACAAGGTCGAAAGCTGGCCGATAGCCCTAAGGTCGGGCGCAAATATGGGCGTTTCCTATTTTGCGATCGCTTAGTGCTTCGAACCCGATCGACAGTAACCACACAGCCAAACCACCAGATGTGTTTATTTAGTTAGACTTTTTTTTTTCTTCTTTCTCCTTTCTTCTTTCCTTATCCCATTTTTTTATTCAAGAGGTAATAACAGTAGCGGTGTCTAAACTTGCCATCGATGTTGACTTTGATGCCTAAACTTGAAAAATACACCGAACTCGTTCTATAATTGACAGTGTGGTTCAAATACGGTTCAAATACGTATGCATTGTTGACTAGACATGCCAGCTGGCACGGGGTCCACTTGCAATGCCGAGACGGACCGACATGGAAATAGTGCGTGTAAATGACCATCGGGTCCCACATGTCAGTGTAAAACCGAAATAAATAAAAATGAAGCACAACTAAGATTTGAACCGGCGACCTCTCCGCTGCAAAGGATCTGCGCAAACCACTTGACCAGCGAAAGTAAGTTGACTATAATGCATCGCTAACCTTTATCTAGCAAACTGGACTGCAATCAGTGCTTCCAATTTTTCACATGCTAGTTATTTTTCGGTTGCTAGAAAAATATTCAAACTATACTCAAAATATTAAATAAATAGTTAATGACCCCTCAATTTTTTTAATATTCACAAAGTTAAAATAATACAAAGTTAATAAAATGGTTTCATAATATTTGTAAGGTTTCACACATTTAATAAAATAATTTTGCAATTTTTAAAAGTTATACATTTTTGAAATGTTAATCAATTTTCAAAATATTCATTTTAAAACATATCATGTGATCCTTTTTTTAAATATTAGTTTTTTTCCTTTTTTACGTGAACCTTCGACGTGTGGGTTTCTTTTTTGCTTTTATTAGTTCTAAAACTTATGCAAATTATTGTAATGGTAATAAAAGTAAATCTAGAACCTTCTTGTCTCATAACTAATATGCGTAAAAAAATTATTTTCAAACACGTTAATGTAATTAAAAAAATATTTATGTATTATTAGAAATTCAGTTATTTAAAATGTTTTTTAGCTAGACAAGTGTATGTATAGTTTAAAAAATTATAATTTAAATACAAGAATGTATAAAATCCTGGAGGAACACTAGGACATTGTTTATTTTTTGACATATATTTTAATATTTATTTTTATTCAAAAATATATCTTTTGACAAACACATATACTTCTTTAAAATGAGTGAACACTTTTTAAACTAGAAATACATTTCCTAAAAGCATGGACACTTTCATATACTACCTGAATATTTTGCAATTTCTAAAATAAAAAAAACTAACATGTGGAAAATGGGTGCACTAGCTGATGCACATTTAACTCCACGGCTGTATCGGATGTATAAACCGTTGCAGTGCATAAAGACAACAAAATTACGTGGCGAATTGGTTGGTGCATGTCCTTCGTGGCTCACTCATCACCGGTTCGAATCTCAGCTTTACAATTTTATAGTTTATTTCAACTATGCACTGACAGGTGGGGCCCGATGGTCATTGAGACGCACACTCTTCATGGCAGTATGTCCCTGCACTGCAAGTGGGCCCTGCGACACGCTCGCATGTCTAGTCAGCAATATATACATATCTAGACATGATTCGAACCGTATTTGAACCATACTGCCAAGTTATAGAACCAGTTCGGTGTATTTTTCAAGTTTAGGCACCAAAATGAACATCGATGGTAAGTTTAAGCACCACTAGTGATATTACCTCTTTATTCAAATTCCTAATTGTTTTCTTCATATCGTTGAACTTCTTTTCTCAAGTCTGATGAACTTTTTAAAAATCGGATGAACTTTTTTAAAATCAATGAACCTTTTTTCAAATACGGTGAATGTTTTCTCTTTCTAAAATTGATGAATATTTTTCAAACTCGATGAACTAGTTTTCAGATTCAATGAAAATTTTCAAACCGATGTTTTTTTCAAAATCATGAACATTTTTAAATTGATGATCTATTTCGTTGTTTTCGTTTTTTCTCTCAAAAGTCAACAGTGAGTCATGTAAATAGGCTGGCCCATGAGGGATGGGGCGTGGGCGCCAAGAAGCTTTCCCGGCGCTAGACGCGACCAATAGGAGCTCCCGCGACTATGTCTCGCTGCAAGCGAGGCAGATCAGCTGTCGCGGAGGCGCCGGCCTAAATGGCCAGCCCAGATCGCGCGAGGCCATTGCCTCTTTTTTATGTTTGTTTGACCTTTCTTTTTGTTTTCTTTGTTCATTTCCTTTTTAACTTTTCTTTACACCTCCAAAAAGTCTAAAAACATAGATTACAAATTATAATTTTCATAATATTCATGCATTTTAAAATTTTAATTGTGTATAAAAAAATGTTGACCATGCATACGAGAAATATATACAAACAAATATATAATATCTGTTATAAAACTTGATCATGTATTTAAAATATGTTAACCAAAAATTTGAAACAATTGTTAATAAAGTGTTTGAAAAAATGTTGACCATGTATTAAGAAAATAATGAAATCTTTTGATCATGCATATGAAAATATTAATCAAGAATTTTAAAAAAAATGTTGAATAATTATTTCAAAAATGTTAATCAAGCATTTGGAAAATGTTAAATGTATATAAAAAAATATTGACCATGCATTAAAAAAGTGTTAATCTTGCATTTTAAGATATTGATAAAGCATTTGAAAAATGTTAAATAATCATAGAAAAATATTACCATGTGTTAGAAAAATGTTAATCCTGTATTTAAAAAATGTTAATCAAGCATTTGAAAAAGGTTTAAAATGTTTATAGTGAAAATGTTGACTATATATTAAAAAAAGTAAACCTTGTATTCGAAAATTGTTAACCAAGCGCTTGATTTTTTTAAAAAAAATTGGTATAAAAATGTTGACTATGTATTAGAAAAATATTAAATACAAATCTATAAAAATAAAAAGGTTTGGTTAAGCTTTAAAATGTTAAACCTGTGTAGATGTCCCGGCTTAATCTAGAAAAAATGTTACAAAAATTGGTACATTTCCCGGCTGTACCAACTTTTAAGATTTTTTACTATATCCCGCATCAGCTATTTCTTTTTTTACTATGTCCCGGCTGTACCATTTTTTTTACATTTTCTAATACATAGTCAAAAAAGAAAAAGGTACATGTCCTGGCTGTACCAATTTTTTAACATTTTTTTAATACACAGCCGGGACATGTGGCCAGGTTTGATTAAGCCTGTGAAGGAATCCTCAAAAAAGAAATTGATTAAGCCTCACGTCCGTATCATGAGCGTATGTAGTTGTTGGGGATGGTGGAAAGCAGAGGCGATAGCCCAGGAGGACTTCGATTTGTTGGTGGGATAAAAACTCTATGTCAGCAGTGTGATCACACATTCTTCTGCAGAGACATTTTATAAGAGCAACTGTAGCAGGATGAAAATGACCACAATTTATGGAGCAACATCATCTACCTTTATCATACTCATGATACAAATTTTCTTTCAAAGATCAACAAAGCAATATGAGGCTGAAAGCAAGGTAAATAAGGTTTAACGACAACCAGAGACGATGGCGAAGCATAAACTCTGACACGACGATGGATTTTAACAGGTCCATTAAACTGACTGGTGGCACTCTACTTCTTGATCTTCTTCTTGGGCCTCAGCTGCTTGCTGTTACCACGCTTGTACTTGCAGAAGTCGACACCCCTTGGGTGCAGGCGCACATGGCATCTGTAGATAAGTGAAAATATTAGAATGTGTAAGATCAGTGTTATTAGACTCACGGGGTTAAATTACAAATGACTTTAATTCATTGTAAGAGGCGATAAAGGATTCCATGTATTGCAGTAGATATTGTAGAATAACCAAAAGAATAAAAAAATCCAAAGGGCAAACAAACAGACCTACAGCCCTGACAGAACAGAAAAATGCAATCAGAATTCAGCATGGAACAAGGAAGGATTCCATGGGAGGCTCACAGTGAAAGCTAAATTTTCATTCTTATTCTTATGAACACACCATGTAAGAAATGTTGTAGTCAGTATAATCTTATATGTTAACTTCTTTTCTTCTATGAAAAGGTATCAAAATTCGGCATCTGCAATTCATTCGCACAGTTTGGCTTAATCATATAAAAAAACAGAGTTTTCATATTGGATTAACCTTTGTTGGTAAGATTGATGGCGAAAACAAAGACAATTCTGCATCCTGAATGAGCGCACATCTGCTACGGACGGTGTCAGACAATCACAGGAAGTGTTAAAACAACCACTGCTGCAT